GTAATTAATACAACCGCTGTAGCGACCTCAGCGATGCAGTTTCTTCCTTACCGAGCGAGTCTCTGATTGGATAGCGTCTTCTATTATTCCCACCTCTTTGAACGTGCAACTATATTTTCCAATCAGAGACTCTACTATTCGGTGCGGGTCTGTAGCCTGAAAATTGTTTACTTCCGGGCATTTGTCCTGACTTCGTCCGAGAATGTACGCAAAATTATTGAAAGCTTTAAATGGGAATAAAATCATCAGATTTCTGATACGCAAGGTACTTTACAGAAGTCAACTGAGTATAAATTGTGCAGTTTATTCAACGGTCAAAGCGATGGAAGCGTTTGTCAGAACAAAACCGAGCCGGGCCGCCATTTTGTTTCGATTTACTGACACACCTTTCTTATATCTTATTTATATAAGTCATGCTTATAAATATATCAGAGTCGGGCACCTATGTAAATTACAGTATGGTATCCTGGCAGAAAATCACGAAGGTCATCTACACGTCGCACGAATGACTAACAAAAGCCAATGATATCATAATTAGCACAGAACTGTTTAACAACTGATTCAAATCTTCAATGTTCTAGGTAAGTATTGATAGCCGTTCCCGATTGTTTACTTCGTCTGAGCTGTGGCCTTTATGTCAAGCACTAGAATCCAGAGTTGCCTCCCCAACCGCAGTGTTGCTTCCTGCTTCCGGTGTCAACAGAGAACCACGGGCGTTTGTTGACATTTGATTTGTACGTGTCCGAGATGTACTCACTGGCGATCTGGGGAATCAGAGGGCTTTCCAGCTATCTGAACAATGTCTCGGTTGTCTCTATCATACATAAATATGGCACCATCAACACTAAGCCGATTTTGACCCATCTTTACTGATCTGTCCCCGTCTCTAGCCTGCTGGAACCAGGGCGCAAGTAGACGCCTTTCCTCTCTGAATCGCTTAGTGAAATCTTCTGTAACACGTTGATTTGATGATTTTGGAATGTCCTCTCTTGCAAAGACTGCACTTTTATCGGCGGTTTTCAGAAATTTGACTTTGACCGGTGAGCCTCGTTTCCGTGGGTTCAATCTGTGAGCTCTCACGATCACAATATTGTTAACCTCCTCGCCAAAGCGTGTCGGTCATGAAAGCACAGACTTTTTCCTGCGACCATGTCTCTCCTGTCGTTTCATCCAGACCTTGAAATAATAAATTATTTCGTCGACTGCGTGATTCCAAATCGTCTAAGTTGTCGTCTACTGCATTTAAACTAAAGTTTGTTGTGTAAAATGTCATTTCGTATAGTGTGCAGCTGGTCGTGGACCGCATGGATATTGGACGCCATGTTGTCAACTTTTGACGATAGTGAATCAAACTTTCACCCCAAGTCCCGGATATCACTTTTAATGTCATTCATTGCCCTCAATACTTCATTTGTGGCCCTGGAGCCCGCCTCTAAACCGAGAACGCCGTCCGTGTCCACAGTTAGCTGATGTTGTCTCCTGAGGGGTCCGTCGTGTCTTGAGCTTCGGGGTTCGGGGTTGACCTCAACCGAGCCGCATGTTACAAGTAGAAGGCTGAACAGGCAACATCCTCAAACTCATGTAAGTTTTTCTGGGTCGACTTTAATACCATGGATGCTTCATTTAGACTTATCCAGTTGCAAAAATGTCCCTTTTTTCGCCCGGTATTGCGCCAACGATATACCCATTTGTCGGAGAGCCGTGAAAGGTACGTCCTCTCTCTCTCTTCAAGCATGCGCAAAACCTGTTTTAAATAAAATTTAATGATCTGGTTTACTGCCCTTTGACGACAGAAATATTATATCGTTTAAATACACGAATAATCTCATATATTTGTTATTGACGTATACCTATCCCTTTTCATGATATGGCTGAAATATTGCCAATATGACGATAAAATTTAACTGTCACATAATGGTAATGTTCAGCATTGTGTTTTAGGATTTTACCTTTTACCTTTCGTCCCAAGTCGTTTATGAACCTGATGTATAATATCTTTTCGCAGATTAAGGCATTACTCGACATTACCTGTTTAGAGAACGGGCGTTGTGCGTGTGTTTAGAGTTTCACAGTGACATGTAGTATTGAGTGATCTAAAATATCATTTGAGTGATTGAGTGAGTTAATAGTTATCATCGCGTCAACAATATCTCAGCCATAGCGTGATGAGAACAATTAATTATTATATAATTAATCAATAAAACCAGCAATTAAAAGCCTGTTGAGGAAGAACAGGAAAATTATTAGTGTTTCACAGATACTAAAGTAAAAGTAGCGTGTTATCATAACACGATATTATTAAAGAGAACACTACAACATAAAAACAGGCTTTAGATTGTCAACAACTGAAGGTAGATCACCACACTGGAGACCATGGGGACTTGCATGACATTTACTGTATATACACCATCCCTTCAGCTGTAAGCAATTTAGACAACTTGTCATCTTAAAAACACACATATTCTACGATTAAAAATGTGGTAAGCTTAAATTTACTTTGCATATTTTGGGACTTACGTCCCAAAATGTCATTCATGTGAGTGAGTAAATATTTAACATCACATCGGCAATATCTCAGCTATACTAAACCACAAAAGAAATGTCGCACTGATAGGGGTTTCTGAAAGCACACACTTTAATGAACTCTAATTAACAATCAAAACAGAGGACTGAGTTCAAACTTGACAATTATGGTTAACACCACATTGTCGGGAAACACATTTAGAGTTCACACAAACAAAATCATCAAAAATGGTACCATTAAGATACCCCAAAGTGTGGCCTCTATGGGCATCGATGAAATCGTTGCATCGTCTGTACATGGAATAAATTAGCCGGTCGATGAAGATCATACGCACTTGGGTCCATACTCTGCGAAATGCCTGATCGAGTCTAGCCTTGGTTGGGGGTCATTCAGTCTTCTTTGAATCTCGTCCCAAAGATGTTCTACTGGACTTAAATTCAGACTGAGTGCAAGATTTTGTAAGGTTTCGAAGCCATGCTATCTTAGGAAGTCCACTTATGCTCTGGCAGTGTGGGCACGACCGTTGTCTTGCTGGAAGATGTGATTTCTGTTACGTCGAAAATGTTGTACAACGTGGGGTCTTATGATTTAATCAATATAGCGAGCAGCTGTCATGTCATTTCTTCATCCAGGACTAAGAGTTTGGAACACCACGGTATTAACTAACTGGTTCAGACCGATTGCACCCCACACCATGGTGCTTGGACCACCCCACGAGTCTCTTTCAACAATACACTCATTGGAAAACATTTCACCACGCCCTCGCCATACTCTGACTCTGCCATCGACTGTCGAAACACAATATCGGCTTTCATGAGATAAAAGCACAGTTCTCCATTGTCGATAACGCCAATTTCTATGCTGAGTTGCCCATTTTGGTCGGTTTTGGCGGTGATGAGCGGCGAGGACAGGACTACGATATGGTCTGTGACAGTAGAGGTTTCTTCCGCGCAAACGTCACTGTATCGGCACTGACGGTCTGTCCAAATGGTCTACCGTGCTGTTCCTGTCGCTTTGGGGAAGCGATTCTGCAGATGCTTGCGCACAGCCTGCCATATTTGACGTTGTGATGTTACTGAAGGTCGTCCAATGCTGTTAGTGACCTGATACCACCCCAGCTGTCCTAACATGAACATTAAAATAATTGGCTATCCTCCGTGCAGTCTGGACAACTTGGCTACTCTGATTTCTCGTGAGACGTGGTTGTGTGAAAACAAAATTAATTTCAGGTGAGTTTGGGACTCACTTTCATTGGTAGGGTTGTCACGACATGCAAGTGCATTTTCATTTTCACGAATGTCATACGGCACCTTTGACCATGTCTGCCTTTTTCGGTGCGTTTGGTCGATATGCTTTTTCATCAGAAAACACACTGATGTTGGTAGTAACTGTCAATTTTGATTGAAAAACATCTTAAAAAAACGGTACACTCAATAAAAGCACCACCTTGCAAGAACAAAATTTTGCATTTGGTTTGAAAAGCAACGTTTCTTTTGTGGTCCAGTATATATCGTGACGAAAAGAATTTCGACAAAAGAGATGAAAACATTTTGAAGAGTAAAACCTGTCGACGATGGACAGTAAAATACTAGAGTATCAAAGATATGAATATGTAACAAGCATGTTAAACTAAAACATTTTAAGTAAAGAAGACAATACAATATAAAACGCGAGCAATAGATCGCAAACAACTGACAAATGTCATTTGAGTCCCATCTGGAGTGTCTGAGGGTAAAGGTTCAAATACAAAATGGGACTCAACCTGTCAAAGTACCAGAATCTGTGCTTCACTGAGAAAGTGTCCCAAATATAACATACATTACTTTTAACCACTTTCTGAATGAGAGGGATGAGTAGGGTTTTACCACCTTTAAGCAATATTCCAGCAATATCACGGCGGGGGACACCAGAAATGGGCCTCACACATTGTACCCATGTGGGGATTCGAAACCGGACCTTTGGCGGGATGAGCGAATGCTTTAACCACTCTTCCCCACCGATCCACTTTCTGAATGACATTGTGCATATATTCTACATTTCCTTAGATTGACATTCCAACTATGAAACATTGAAAATGCATACCTTTTGGAGTCTGATACTGACACCAAAGCATCCTGTATAATAATTTCAGTTCTTGTAATGTATATAAAATTCTACTACATGTCCAGTCCAAACACCAGCTGGTTGCCATGAATCATCCCTTTACTATGTTCCACCATCACTGATGCCTCATAGATTTCAGTTTTTATCTTCTCATGTCGATACACATAAATTGAATATACAAACAGGACTTTGGTGTGAAATTCTCTTTTCACCATATATGTTTTTCCATCTGCTTCTTCGAAGAGAGAAACAAAGGCATGGAACTTAAAACTGGATTCTTCGGGATTTTACATTCTTACCGACTGGTGTTAACATAGATGTGACCGTTCTGCTGGATAGCTATCTACATCGTATGTTTCTTCCTTCTGTACAGATCTGGACAGAAACATCGGCATGGAGATATTTGTGGGCAGCCAGATGTGCTACAACTGGTCACCAACTGAACATCCTCCTCCTATAGCTGACGTCACCTGCCGCCAGCCATTGACAGGGACCACGGTTACTATACGGATACCGGGTGACAGTAAAGCCCTTAGTTTGTGCGAGGTGCAGATATTTGGTATGTCATAGACTATGTGGGTTCACATATTTGAATAGTTTGTCATGTGGTATAAAATACGCTTTTCAGTATCCATACATTTATGACCCGTAAAGGTCCGGGTTAGAATGAATCTTCAGTAACACATGCTTGTCGTAAGAGGCGACTAACGGGATAGGGTGGTCAGGCTCGCTGGCTTGGTTGACACATGTCATCAGTCCCCAATTGCGCAGATCGATGGGCATGCTGTTGATGACTGGATTGTTTGGTCCAGGCTCGATTATTTACAGACCGCCGCCATATAGCTGGAATTTTGCTGAGTGCAGCGTAAAACTAAACTCACTCAACTCCACACATTTATGCATTCATAAGATTGTTCTTTTTCTTACGTACGAGTGGACACTGCAGGGATTCACTAAACGTGTTGCACCTGTGTATTGTGAGCTTAAATATGATCCTCTGATTCCATGGAATGGAATCTTTCAAGGTGATCGTGGCAATTATTATTATCCCCCGCCGCGCGTTTAGCGCGAAGCGGGGGATATAGTATTAGGCTCTGTCCGTCCGTCCGTCCGTCCGTCCGTCCGTCCGTCCGTCCGTCCATACGTACGAATTGGAATATCTTAAGAACCGTTCTCTAGATTCTTTTCATAATTGGTACCTAGGTTTATCACAGTATAAGAAAAGTCCAAGTCCGGTTTGGTGACCTTGACCTTAATTTCAAGGTCACAAGGGGACTTTAACGTTTTGCCTGCATGTTAAGCTATCTCAAGAACCGTTCACTGCATTGTCTTCTTATTCAATACAAAGCTTTATCTAGGGAAGGCGCATGGCCCAGTCGATTTTGGTGACCTTCTCTTAATTTGCAAGGTCACAGAGACACTTTGAAGATTTGAGCATGTTAACCAGAATTGTCAGCAAGATATTTCAAATACCGTTCACTGGATCTTCTTCAAAGACTTTTAAGACTTCTCTTAAATATTTTTCAAAAAAGCAATTCTTTAGTACTATTTTTGCATATTTCATACATTATGACATTCATGTCAAAGTCAGTCTTGAAAATATGTGTGTGTTTGGACACCTAAAGCAAGACATCAAGAGAGGTTGACTGGTCATGTTTTTGTTGACATTTAACTTAAACTTTCATTACTTTATAAGTTTGATTTGATAATTTGCGGCGGGGGATTATGTCACCTTAGTGACAATGCTTGTGTGTTACTTGTGGTACTTTCCGCACACACATGGTGAGGACAAAATATAACCTTTTGTCACATCAGTAATATGGGCACCCCAAAAACTATGCAGTAAAACTGATAAATTCAACCTTCTGAACTGGTATTGACTTCGTAATGAGATTATCTTGATTGAAATTATCGATTCTTCGATCTTTCGAGGAAATACATTACGGTATCTATCCATCAGCTGTCAGTACTGTAGTGATACAATGACAAACCCATGGTGTCAAAGCCTCTCGGTAACAGTTTGTTTGAAAAACTACATTGTTCCACATATAGTATTCCCAAAAAGCATTGAGAAAGTTGTTTAGGCAAATATCTAATACATGTATACAAACTATAGAAGTTGTACTTAAACGAGTAAGTTGAGAGATGATTCTCTTACATTCGAAGTGTCTTTTCAGTGCTTTGTGAGACCTCCTGGCCCTGCAATACACGACTGAATGCGCCTAGGTACACTACCGATCAAAGTTTGAAGAAAATTGTGTGACAGCATATCCCAATATTCGACCAATTCTTTCTTCATAACCTCCATATTTCTGAGGCGTTTTTTGGTTTATTCTGTCCTTCATTAGTCCCCACACATTCTTAATAGGGTTTATATCTGGGCTGAAGCTGAACATTTGAACATTTTAGTCCGACAACCACTGGTTTGTGTAGCCCGCAGTGTGTTTTGGGTCGTTGTCATGCTGGAAGCTCCAATTATCTTCATACAGTGTTGGTGCCGTTCGAAGGAGGTGATAACTTAAGACGTCAACATATCGTTCCTTTGTCAAATATCCAGTGTAAAAACATAGCGGCGTCACTCAAGGTGATGATATCCTACCCCACATGTGAAATTTCGGGCTACGTTTTGGGCGTTGATAGATACGTTTCACGGTATCTTTTGTCCAAATTTTAACACAGTTCGGAAAAGGCCAGACATAACTTTCATCAGAAAAGAAAACATCATCCCATTCTTGATTTGCGTGATCCCTACACCAGTTTTGCATCTTCCATCAATGATGAGGAAATTCCGCCCCTTTTCACCCAGTTAAGCCTTTGTCTTTCTTGTCTAACGGATTAATTACATACACGAGGACTTCCTCTACTGATCATCTCGTTTCTGATGTTCTCAACGCTTTTCAATTTCCCCCTAATCACAATCTGACCAAGTCGCCGGCGATCCGTAGTACTGAACTTCCTTGGCCTCCCTGTCCCTGTAAGACCGCCTCCGTGGTGTAGTGGTTAGAGCGTCCGCCCGGAGTGCGGAAGGTCGCGGGTTTGATCCCCGACCGCGTCATACTAAAAGACGTTAAAATATGGTACTTGTTGGTCCCTGCCTTGCGCTCGGCATTAATGGGTACAACAAGGACTTGTCGGCTCGGAGTAAGTATAATGTGTCTGAGTGGGGTATTCATGCTTCACTGCGGCATGGTATCTCAGTGGGCTGGCACTATAAAACCAGCTTCAGTCTGGGCTAGTACAAGCAGCCGCACATACACATACACCACACGCATGCACGTCGTCATATGAGCGAAATATTCTCAAGCACGACGCTAAACCCAATTCCACCACCACCACCCTGTCCCTGTCTTGTGCTCAATCCACACTCCGGAATGAAAATTCATCAAAGTTCTGTATAACGTAGACAGAAGAATGTCGTGTCTACCAGGAAACTCTTTTGCATTAGTCACACCCCTTTCAAAATCATCTAGAACCAGCTTGCTTTTGTCGTCTGCTGTTAAATCTGCCATGTCAACAAAGGAAGCCGTCTGCTACACAAGGAGAGATAACTCTTAATGTAGTAAGGTTTAGTCTTAAGCCAACAAGAGTTGCCTCCCATATTGTGTATATTACTACATAATGTAACACCTATTTTAAAATTTTATTATCAGCATTAGGAAACAAAGATTTTCTATGTACAAACACAGGTTAGTGGACGCCATTAACAAATTAAACTTGTGACTAGAAGCATGGGCGTTATAAATCGAATTCATCATCATATGCTTTACAGTTGAAAAAAAACATCATATATATTTGTCTTCCATAAAGTGTTTCCTTGCTAATATACTCTGCAAAAAAAGAAACGCACAGGTGAAAACTCAGGAATGTAAACACTTTATTTTATTTCCAAATAAAACTTTAACTAATGATCGCACGAACGTAAAATTTCACATGGATGTTGTCAAGAGTCAGCTTTACAACATGCAGCTATCATTTGTCTCTGAAACCATTGCACCGGGCGTACAGATGGCGTGGAGGTCAGTACCTGTTGTGACCACCTCGAGCTTGCAACACAGCTTGGCACCTCCTGTCCATGGACATGATCAGTCTTTGAATCCGTGCTTGGGGGATCCTCCTCCATTCCTCCTGCAAGGCTTGAGACAGTTGTTGCAACGTTTGGGGTTGAGGCTGACGACGTCGAACGCGTTTCCCAAGCTGGTCCCACAAATGCTCTATTGGGTTCAAATCGGGGGATTTTGAAGGCCAGGGAAGAACTGTGATGTTCTGATTCGTCAGGTAGTCCATCGTGATGCGAGCCACGTGCGGTCTGGCGTTGTCCTGTTGGAAAACGTGACGTTGAGGGTTGATGACAGGTAAAAGATGACGTTGCAGAATTTCATCCCTGTAACGAATTGCAGTCAGGTTACCACGGACGTGCACCAAGTCACTTCTCCCGTTGTAAGAAATGGCCCCCCATACCATCACACTTCCCCCCTCCAAATCTGTCCGCTTCAACTACACAATTACGGGCGTAACGTTCGTTTCTCCGTCTATAGACCCTCGTCCTACCATCGTGTCTTTGAAGTTGGAAACGAGATTCGTCGCTGAACCAAATTCGCTGCCAATGTCTCCAATTCCATCTCTGGACGTTCCTGCACCATCGAACACGTGCCAGGCGATGATGAGGTCGTAGTGTGCATCCTACGTGAGGTCGTCGAGGGCGTATCCCGTGCTGTCTGAGGCGATTTCTGATGGTCTGGGCGGAGACGCGGCGAAGACCTGGGACGTTCTCTGCTGTTTGTGTTGCTGGGACGGCCCGGTTACGTAAATGGAACACCCGGATGTAGCGGTCCTGTGCAGCATTGGTTACCCGTGGTCTACCACTCCGAGGTCGGTCGCGGGTCGAGCCCAGTTGATTGTAGCGCCTCCATAAACGGGAAATTGTTGTGTGATGCACGTTGAAGTGTCTTGCAACTGATGACTGAGATTCGCCAGCTTCAAGACGTCCGATGGCGATGTTCCGGTCAGCTTCGCTAAGTCGTGGCATGTTGAATTCGTCAGTAAACTGGCGTTGAAAGTGAATTGAACACGTTAAACTGCCTTCCTCATATACCCTACACACTGGTGCATAGGTGAAGCAACTTTCACGTGCATATCGTTCGAAGTGTCATTTACACGTGAAAATTTCATGATATTTTCAAAAACCATCATCAAACAACAATATTTCATGAAATGGTGTGTTTGAGCGATACTTAATGGATATGAACAAGTATACATTATGTTTGGTTACAGTAACCGGGTTTTGTTTGCATAGAAATAAAATAAAGTTAATTTTAAATTTCATTATCACCTGTGCGTTTCTTTTTTTGCAGAGTATAGCACAGGTTTTCACTAAATCTAACCTGTCATACAGTATTCCAAGTCATATGCATTTATTAAACGATAGAGCGCAGAAACAGTATTTAGACAGACAGTAAGAATATAGGAATCTGGCATATTAGACTTATACACCGATGTACAACACATTCACTGGTCCAAATGCATAGTGGGTATCTTCGACATTCATCTTTAACAACATGGTTTGCAGTTGTAGATTTTACACACAGTATGGATGTGCAGGCTATCTACCCCAGGCTATCTACCCCATGAAGTATAACTTGGCTTATCTTAGTGGCAAATATTAAAGGATATGAAATGGTAAAAGTAAAATGGTGACGAGCATTTAAAAACTCCATATAGTAATATTTTTGGTATCAAGTATCTTTTACATTTTTGCATTTGATAATGTTTCAGTCTGTAATAAGTATTTATATCAAGATACCCAAGTAAGTCCATCAAACTCTATTTTCTCATGTTTTGGTAGAACTTTCTAATCTTAAAAAAACAATGGCATTGGTTTTATACAAATTAACACACCAATGGAAGTGATCCCAAAATAGGTTTTCATACGTTTTTGTAGTGCAGGATTGTTTCAGAAACCACTCGTGGTCAGGCCACTGGATGTGTGTGCTGGCGATTTGGTGGTTTATACTGAGAGTGTGGTTTTGAATCTCGGATGGGCCCCAACCACACAGTACTTGATGTCGCACTCTACTGATAACATGTAGTTCCATATATAACATACACTGAAGCAAATGCAGTTGACATGTATCACGGAGACATCCCGAAACACACATTTCAAACTAAGCAATACTTAGTTTGCAGTGACGGATGGTTTTCTGAAGATTGTGACAAACAGTGCCGGTGCCTCAGCGGTAATGATGTATGTGACAAGACCACTGGTCATTGTTCCAGTGGATGTTTCCCAGGATACCATGGCACTGACTGCCAAACAGGTATGACGGTAAAATAGTTATCATTGAAGTGCAATTTGATAAAGAGTTTACATGCGTTTGAGGCACATGTTCAATTTCTGTATGAGCAACTAAGTTAAGCAACTGAAGATTCATGTCCACACACACGTGTCTCGCGGCCACAATGGTACAATACAAATCTGTGGATGGTATCTCCCACACAAACAAGAACATTCTAAAAACTTGAAACTATATTTGCTTGTGATGGGTTGGGGTTGGACGTTGGTGTCGGGGAGAAATAAATGATTTATTTAATGGGTAATGTTTTTTTCACCCACTGTCTTAAACTAACTCACTCAATTCTATATCACTCTATTGTCGGCTTTGTGTCACCAAAACATTTGTATAATAATAAATAAATAAGTAAAGTTAATATTTGTATAGCGCCTGTTCCAACATATTAATCAAAGGCGCTTAGGCGAAGGCTAAGTTGAACAAGTGGGTTTTCAGTTGTCGTTTAACCTGGTCGAGATTGACAATGTTTTGAATGTGCCGAGGAAGACGGTTCCAGAGCCAGGGGCTGGCCTTGGAGAACAATCTATCCCCACAGTTTCTTTTCCTGGTCATAGGAACATCAAGTGTTCTTGATGGTCTTGTCGTGAGGTCTCTCCTTGGAGTGTAGGTTGATAGGTGTTCACTGATATACTCTGGAGCTAGACCATGCAGTGATTTGAAGACAAACACCAGGATCTTGAACTGTATACGCTGTCTCACTGACAGCCAATGGAGGTCTTGTAAGACCGGGGAGATGTGATCTCGACGTCTGGTGTTGGTGATTACTCTGGCTGCACTATTGTGCACCCTCTGGAGTCTGTCGAGTGAGTGTTCCGATGCCCATACAATAGACTATTGCAGTAGTCTATGCGAGATGTTTTATAAACTTATGGGCAGTCAGGTAGCTTACTGCTTGAAGAGTTTCCGCTGGGACATTGTAAATTGTTAATGCCACAAGCTTATTTACATGTTTTCGAATCTTATGATAAAGCAGGATTAATTATGTCACTGGACCCCATGTTAAATCATATGATCTAAAGCAAAAAGAAGATTGACGTATGGCAGAATGTTTAACATATTTATGTTTGCAAACTGTGCCATTGCATTGAATTTTGTTTTTCTTGTTATTTGTGCTTAAAGTATGCCCAGGTGGTTATTTTGGTATCAACTGCGCGTACCGGTGTGATAACTGCCTAAATGGTGCCAGCTGTAACAAGACTATAGGAACATGTCCTAGAGGATGTGCAGCAGGGTGGATGAATGACGACACAAATTTATGCATGCAGCGTGAGTAACTGATTTCATCCTTTGTCAGTTCTGGTGTCATTGATCTGTTTGTAATCAGAGCTCAGAATCAAGAATGTAAACATATCCTTTGTACCGTCATATTATATTCAGTACGTTCTTTTTTATCATAGAAACATTATCAAATAGTGTACATATTCTGTCAAATGCTTGTAATCGGTTGCTTTTTCAACACACGTTTTCTTTGTGACATCTTCCTTCCAATGGTCTGTATGATCACAAATGGACGCTTACCTTCACAATACAGTAAAGCCACGTGTATGTGTATATACAGCATGTCCAGATGGTGTACTTATGATGTAAATTGCCTCCGTCGGAGTCCCAATACTTTCATTTGTATTATATAGATCCTCATCAAATACTGAACACTTTCTGTGAAACTTTCGTATTCGGTTTCCTTTTTCAGACGATTTTGTGGGAATTTGCAGCATGTTACTCTCAATTGTAGCTCACTCACTCAATCAATCACTTTTTTTCGATACCCTTTTATTTGGCAAAATCCTGTTTCTAAAGCATTCTGTTTGATTTTAACTGGACCCTTACCTTGAACAATGTGGTTAAGCCGCGTGTTGGGTATGTGTATTTCCAGCATGTCCAGTTGGTTCCTTTGGTATCAACTGTACCTCCCAGTGCAGAAACTGCATAAGTGGTGTGAGCTGTGACAGGACCACAGGAACATGTCCTGGAGGATGTGCCGCAGGATGGATGAAAGACGACACAAAGTTATGTCGGCAGTGTGAGTAACTGATTTTGACCAGTGAAATTTTTGGCGCATCGATGTGTTTGCTGGTCTTTGCTCCCTGGCTGTCTCAAGACTTATTTTGATATCATGAAAACTTATCTCATTCTATCAAACATTCCTTAGTACTCGATTACCGTTTTCAACGCCCCTTTGCCTGGCGTAATCCTGTTTCCGATGTATTTCTGTATGATTCCAAGTGGACGTGTGTGGGTATTTACAGCATGTCCAGTTGGTGTACTGATGATGTAAACTGCCTCCGTCGGAGTCCCAATACTTTCATTTGTATCATATAGACCCTCATCAAATACTGAACACATTCTGTGAAACTTTCGTATTCGGTTTCCTTTTTCAGCCGATTTTGTGGGAATTTGCAGCATGTTACTCTCAATTGTAGCTCACTCACTCAATCAATCACTTTTTTTCGATACCCTTTTATTTGGCGAAATCCTGTTTCTAAAGCATTCTGTTTGATTTTTAACTGGACCCTTACCTTGAACAAATGTGGTTAAGCCGCGTGTTGGGTATGTGTATTTCCAGCATGTCCAGTTGGTTCCTTTGGTATCAACTGTACCTCCCAGTGCAGAAACTGCATAAGTGGTGTGAGCTGTGACAGGACCACAGGAACATGTCCTGGAGGATGTGCAGCAGGATGGATGACAGACGACACAAAGTTATGTCGGCAGCGTGAGTAACTGATTTTGACCAGGGTGCCGTTGTACAAAACGATCTTAGCGCTAAAATGGCCGTAACTCCCATACCTTAACATGGACTTAAGGTAGCCTTAGCGCTAAGGTTGTTTTGTACAACGGCACCCAGGGAAAGTTTAAGCACATCGATGTGTTTGCTGGTCTTTGCTCCCTGTCTGTCTCAAGACTTATTTTTATATCATGAAAACGTATATCATTCTATCAAACATTCCTTTATACTCGATTACCGTTTTCAACGCCCCTTTACTTGTCGTAATCCTGTTTCCGATGTATTTCTGTATGATTCCAAGTGGACGTGTGTGGGTATTTACAGCATGTCCAGATGGTGTACTTATGATGTAAACTGCCTCCGTCGGAGTCCCAATACTTTCATTTGTATCATATAGATCCTCATCAAATACTGAACACATTCTGTGAAACTTTCGTATTCGGTTTCCTTTTTCAGCCGACTTTGTGGGAATTTGCAGCATGTTACTCTCAATTGTAACTCACTCACTCAATCAATCACTTTTTTTCGATACCCTTTTATTTGGCGAAATCCTGTTTCTAAAGCATTCTGTTTGATTTTTAACTGGACCCTTACCTTGAACAAATGTGGTTAAGCCGCGTGTTGGGTATGTGTATTTCCAGCATGTCCAGTTGGTTCCTTTGGTATCAACTGTACCTCCCAGTGCAGAAACTGCATAAGTGGTGTGAGCTGTGACAGGACCACAGGAACATGTCCTGGAGGATGTGCAGCAGGATGGATGACAGACGACACAAAGTTATGTCGGCAGCGTGAGTAACTGATTTTGACCAGGGTGCCGTTGTACAAAACGATCTTAGCGCTAAAATGGCCGTAACTCCCATACCTTAACATGGACTTAAGGTAGCCTTAGCGCTAAGGTTGTTTTGTACAACGGCACCCAGGGAAAGTTTAAGCACATCGATGTGTTTGCTGGTCTTTGCTCCCTGTCTGTCTCAAGACTTATTTTTATATCATGAAAACGTATATCATTCTATCAAACATTCCTTTATACTCGATTACCGTTTTCAACGCCCCTTTACTTGTCGTAATCCTGTTTCCAATGTATTTCTGTATGATTTCAAGTGGACGTGTGTGGGTATTTACAGCATGTCCAGATGGTGTACTTATGATGTAAACTGCCTCCGTCGGAGTCCCAATACTTTCATTTGTATCATATAGATCCTCATCAAATACTGAACACATTCTGTGAAACTTTCGTATTCGGTTTCCTTTTTCAGCCGACTTTGTGGGAATTTGCAGCATGTTACTCTCAATTGTAACTCACTCACTCAATCAATCACTTTTTTTCGATACCCTTTTATTTGGCGAAATCCTGTTTCTAAAGCATTCTGTTTGATTTTTAACTGGACCCTTACCTTGAACAAATGTGGTTAAGCCGCGTGTTGGGTATGTGTATTTCCAGCATGTCCAGTTGGTTCCTTTGGTATCAACTGTACCTCCCAGTGCGGAAACTGCATAAGTGGTGTGAGCTGTGACAGGACCACAGGAACATGTCCTGGAGGATGTGCCGCAGGATGGATGAAAGACGACACAAAGTTATGTCGGCAGTGTGAGTAACTGATTTTGACCAGTGAGTGCCACCAGAAAAATTTTGGCGCATCGATGTGTTTGCTGGTCTTTGCTCCCTGGCTGTCTCAAGACTTATTTTTATATCATGAAAACTTATCTCATTCTATCAAACATTCCTTTATACTCGATTACCGTTTTCAACGCCCCTTTACTTGTCGTAATCCTGTTTCCGATGTATTTCTGTATGATTCCAAGTGGACGTGTGTGGGTATTTACAGCATGTCCAGTTGGTGTACTGATGATGTAAACTGCCTCCGTCGGAGTCCCAATACTTTCATTTGTATCATATAGATCCTCATCAAATACTGAACACATTCTGTGAAACTTTCGTATTCGGTTTCCTTTTCAGCCGATTTTGTGGGAATTTGCAGCATGTTACTCTCAATTGTAACTCACTCACTCAATCAATCACTTTTTTCGATACCCTTTTATTTGGCGAAATCCTGTTTCTAAAGCATTCTGTTTGATTTTTAACTGGACCCTTACCTTGAACAAATGTGGTTAAGCCGCGTGTTGGGTATGTGTATTTCCAGCATGTCCAGTTGGTTCCTTTGGTATCAACTGTACCTCCCAGTGCAGAAACTGCATAAGTGGTGTGAGCTGTGACAGGACCACAGGAACATGTCCTGGAGGATGTGCAGCAGGATGGATGAAAGACGACACAAAGTTATGTCGGCAGCGTGTAACTGATTTTGACCAGTGCCGTTGTACTGATCTTAGCGCTAAAATGGCCGTACCCCATACCTTAACATGTGGTAAATTGTTTGTACAACGGCGGGAAAGTTTAAGCATCGATGTGTTTGCTGGTCTTTGCTCCCTGTCTGTCTCAAGACTTATTTTGATATCATGAAAACTTATCTCATTCTATCAAACATTCCTTTATACTCGATTACCGTTTTCAACGCCCTTTGCTTGTCGTAATCCTGTTTCCGATGTATTTCTGTATGATTCCAAGTGGACGTGTGTGGGTATTTACAGCATGTCCAGTTGGTGTACTTATGATGTAAACTGCCTCCGTCGGAGTCCCAATACTTTCATTTGTATCATATAGACCCTCATCAAATACTGAACACATTCTGTGAAACTTTCGTATTCGGTTTCCTTTTTCAGCCGATTTTGTGGGAATTTGCAGCATGTTACTCTCAATTGTAACTCACTCACTCAATCAATCACTTTTTTTCGATACCCTTTTATTTGGCGAAATCCTGTTTCTAAAGCATTCTGTTTGATTTTTAACTGGACCCTTACCTTGAACAAATGTGGTTAAGCCGCGTGTTGGGTATGTGTATTTCCAGCATGTCCAGTTGGTTCCTTTGGTATCAACTGTACCTCCCAGTGCAGAAACTGCATAAGTGGTGTGAGCTGTGACAGGACCACAGGAACATGTCCTGGAGGATGTGCAGCAGGATGGATGACAGACGACACAAAGTTATGTCGGCAGCGTGAGTAACTGATTTTGACCAGGGTGCCGTTGTACAAAACGATCTTAGCGCTAAAATGGCCGTAACTCCCATACCTTAACATGGACTTAAGGTAGCCTTAGCGCTAAGGTTGTTTTGTACAACGGCACCCAGGGAAAGTTTAAACATCGATGTGTTTGCTGGTCTTTGCTCCCTGTCTGTCTCAAGACTTATTTTTATATCATGAAAACGTATATCATTCTATCAAACATTCCTTTATACTCGATTACCGTTTTCAACGCCCCTTTACTTGTCGTAATCCTGTTTCCGATGTATTTCTGTATGATTCCAAGTGGACGTGTGTGGGTATTTACAGCATGTCCAGATGGTGTACTTATGATGTAAACTGCCTCCGTCGGAGTCCCAATACTTTCATTTGTATCATATAGATCCTCATCAAATACTGAACACATTCTGTGAAACTTTCGTATTCGGTTTCCTTTTTCAGCCGACTTTGTGGGAATTTGCAGCATGTTACTCTCAATTGTAACTCACTCACTCAATCAATCACTTTTTTTCGATACCCTTTTATTTGGCGAAATCCTGTTTCTAAAGCATTCTGTTTGATTTTTAACTGGACCCTTACCTTGAACAAATGTGGTTAAGCCGCGTGTTGGGTATGTGTATTTCCAGCATGTCCAGTTGGTTCCTTTGGTATCAACTGTACCTCCCAGTGCAGAAACTGCATAAGTGGTGTGAGCTGTGACAGGACCACAGGAACATGTCCTGGAGGATGTGCAGCAGGATGGATGACAGACGACACAAAGTTATGTCGGCAGCGTGAGTAACTGATTTTGACCAGGGTGCCGTTGTACAAAACGATCTTAGCGCTAAAATGGCCGTAACTCCCATACCTTAACATGGACTTATGGTAGCCTTAGCGCTAAGGTTGTTTTGTACAACGGCACCCAGGGAAAGTTTAAGCACATCGATGTGTTTGCTGGTCTTTGCTCCCTGTCTGTCTCAAGACTTATTTTTATATCATGAAAACGTATATCATTCTATCAAACATTCCTTTATACTCGATTACCGTTTTCAACGCCCCTTTACTTGTCGTAATCCTGTTTCCGATGTATTTCTGTATGATTCCAAGTGGACGTGTGTGGGTATTTACAGCATGTCCAGATGGTGTACTTATGATGTAAACTGCCTCCGTCGGAGTCCCAATACTTTCATTTGTATCATATAGATCCTCATCAAATACTGAACACATTCTGTGAAACTTTCGTATTCGGTTTCCTTTTTCAGCCGACTTTGTGGGAATTTGCAGCATGTTACTCTCAATTGTAACTCACTCACTCAATCAATCACTTTTTTTCGATACCCTTTTATTTGGCGAAATCCTGTTTCTAAAGCATTCTGTTTGATTTTTAACTGGACCCTTACCTTGAACAAATGTGGTTAAGCCGCGTGTTGGGTATGTGTATTTCCAGCATGTCCAGTTGGTTCCTTTGGTATCAACTGTACCTCCCAGTGCGGAAACTGCATAAGTGGTGTGAGCTGTGACAGGACCACAGGAACATGTCCTGGAGGATGTGCCGCAGGATGGATGAAAGACGACACAAAGTTATGTCGGCAGCGTGAGTAACTGATTTTGACCAGTGAAATTTTTGGCGCATCGATGTGTTTGCTGGTCTTTGCTCCCTGGCTGTCTCAAGACTTATTTTGATATCATGAAAACTTATCTCATTCTATCAAACATTCCTTAGTACTCGATTACCGTTTTCAACGCCCCTTTGCCTGGCGTAATCCTGTTTCCGATGTATTTCTGTATGATTCCAAGTGGACGTGTGTGGGTTTTTACAGCATGTCCAGATGGTTTATATGGTTCCAACTGTGCCTCTGAGTGTGGGAACTGCTTTCGTGGTGTCAGCTGTGACAAGAAAACCGGAACCTGTCCTACAGGATGTGCAGCAGGATGGGTCAATGACGGCATATGCCTACAACGTGAGTACTGATGACGTCCATTGTGTTGCTTACAAAGATTTCAGGGGCAGTGGGGTCTAGTGGTTAAAGCGTTGGCTCGACACGCCGAAGACCCGGGTTCGAATAACCACATGGGTACAATGAGTGAAGCCCATTTCTGGTGTCCCTACCGTGATATTGCTGGAATAATGCTAAAAGCGGCGTTAAACCAAACTCAGTCAGTCAGTACAAACGTATAATCACCTGAAATGTTAATGAACCATAATTCGTATTCACCACTGTTCTTGTTAGAGCTTCCGGTTATGTAAGTCACCTTCCACTGTTCAATGACGAACATGATACATTACCTTCTGCAGTGTCAGTTCCATATGGGTTTGGATCCGCGCAGTTATTCCAGATGGACAGAATTATCTTTGCCTCGGCCCTGATACGCGAAAAGGGGTAGATCGGAAGGGGCCAAGATGTACATGTAACTGTGCTTTTTTTACGTCTCATGACAAAACATGATAATGAACGCATACCATACCACCGCATTCATTAAACAGAAGTGCATTCCAGACAACTAACAATTATTAAATCGAAATGTGTTGTGATCTTCTGTTGAATCCTTACTGAACAGATGTGATGTGATTGCAACCCCGGTTTACCAAATATACATCACGTGAATTTCTTTATTTCGAAACTGGGAGCGGTGGGGTAGCCCAGTGGTTAAAGCGTTCGCTCGACACGCCGTAGAACCAGGTTCGATTCCCCACATGGGTCTAATGTGTGAAATCCACATCTGGTGTCCACACCAGTTGAACGTAAACGTTTGTGAGAAGGAAGTGCATACCTCTCATCATGTGAAAATACAAATGTATTCAAGTTAGTGCAATTGTTCATTAGTGAGACAAAACGATTTGTATAGCATATTTGTATTTTCTGTACAATCTTTCTCTCATTTTTACTTATACTACTTTCTTGTTCACTATCTGTCATCTTTAGTTGCGGGAATCTAAATTACATATGTGCATACCAAGGAGAGGGTATTCTAAGCGGGAGAACTTGTTACAAATAATTTTCTCTGTGAATAATATATGTTTAAAACAAATGCAACATTGTTTTACAATTAAGCATCCAAGAAAACATGGGGTTCAAACTATAATGGAATAGACACCAAATATAGAGATTCCATAATTTATTGAATGTCGATCGTCTTACTTGCAGCTGGAAATTTGATATTTATTCACATATGGTGTGCCATAGGAAAGTCTGTAATCAGAGTTTGGGTTACAGATGTCATGAGACTTTGATGACCAGCCTTTCAGTTTCTTTGCTTTTGCATAAAGTAGAAAGTATGTATATTTAACATTCCAATAACACATATAGGTTGCCTGTTACAAGCAAACTCTGCGCAGACGAATATGACTCAAGGGACAACGTGAGCGAAGAAATTTCAAAATATTGTTAATGCATAACAATATTTTTGTTTGTCGTTCAGAATACAAGTACAAACCATCAAACGGGTGTTGCTTTGCATGCTACAGTCACGTGGCATTACTATTACTGTATGATCTCAAGAACCACATAGATTGTCATGCAAAATGTGAGAGTGCTACGGGCGTGGGATGCGTACTCCTTTGTTCCTTAAGCTTTTGTTATGACGTATTGTCATTGTCATTGCTCTGCTCGTTCATGTTTTCACCACTGCTTGTCCTTTATGCTCAATGGAATCTGATTCATCGGGTGACCAGACAAGGTTAATCTCCGATGAGTGATGTTTTATCTATCTGCATTGTTTACGTGTTGAAGATCATTCTCACATTTGTCTGATTCAGTGATCCCAGAGGAGGGATTCAACTGGGCAGTGCCAGTAGTAGTGGGCCTGTGTGTGCTGTTGATATTCACATTGATTGGGGCAACAATTTGTATCAGAAGGTAATGTGATTTGCATCTTTCGCTATAGAACAACACGTGTTCATACCTTAAAGGACATCTCATTACTTACTCACCTGTCATTGATTATGTGGCCCCTGCCACATGCTGCTTCTTCACATTGTGTAATATAATTGTGCATACATCAGTTTGCTCCGTATTTTAATAAAGTCGTCAGTGATTTTACTGGTGAATAACTGGTATCGGGTTGGCGCTTCTGTTTGTAGAGAATTCGGCTCCAAAACCAGAGAACTGTCGTTTGTATGCCCATATTTTCTGGTAGACAATTTATGAGAAAATCAGAGTGAACATTCAAACACCCATAGGGCGGCAAATTATCCCGTACACGTGATCTTTCTAGTGGTCAGATACGTTTTGAATAGTTGATTTCACAACATCTTACACAGTTGGTGCCTCAGTCTCTCATAATAAGGGACATTATCTATGTTTCGCGATAATTGTCTGTATATTTTACGAAATAGACATATTTTGTTTATCAGATGGCTGCAAAAACTGGGGAGTTTGAAGGACTAGACGTCAGATGGACACTATGTGGAACTTGAGGCGAAGACAAAGGTGCCTGCAAAAGAAAGTACATACGAACATATTGGCAATACAACGCCTTACTACAATACAGCCGGTCGTGTTCAGGATGAAACTGGATGAGAGGACAAAGGTTCCATGCGAACATTTTCACTCTGCACATTGCCATGTTCATAGATCTTTTTGAGGGTGAACGTAACTCACAGGGATGTCATACTAGAGATACTATCTGTCTGCCTTAGGTAGATGAGATGTGAAGGTCTTTAGAAACAACTGTCTAAATGTCATTGTTTTCCCTTGAAGAATCTTTCAGAATCTGACAAGTGAGTGATTCAAAGTGAATAACATGTCTATAATGCAAGATCTCCAGTGAAATGGATGAACACAACAGATTTAATCCGACATCCATGCTGCAACATTGGACTTCTCCAACGTAGTCGCCGTTTCAGACAAGAAATCCACATATCCGTCATATAATAATAATGGTGATACTCTTCTGCGGCCATGAGTTTGCTTCGCTTAAAACCTAACATATCGGTTTGCTCCTATTATTCCCTTTCCTTCCTTTCCCTGTGAGAGACATGGGTACTGACTCCCCATCAGCCCATTGCAGCATGCAGAGCTTTGTGTAGTCGCAGTAGCAAATAACTTTACTTCTGTCATTACATTGTCATAAGATTTGTTGCAATAAACTAATATGCACTTATGTAAGGTTTTGAGTTTAACTGTGATGGAATAGAACAATTAGTGTAATGTTTTGCCAATCTTAGTCAATTGTAGTCTATCCACTATCGATACTAAAGTAAGTCTGTCTTGTAACCGTTACATACTTTAGTCAATCCAAACCTGTCCACTATCGATACTAAAGTAAGCCTGCAGGTAATCGTTATATACTTTAGCCGATCCTAACCTGTCCACTATCGATACTAAAGTAAAACCTGCATGTAATCGTTACAGACTTTAGTCAATCTAACCTGTCCACTATCGATAGTAAAGTAAGCCTGCATGTAATCGTTATATACTTTAGTCAATCCAAACCTGTCCACTATCGATACTAAAGTAAGTCTGCAGGTAATCGTTACATACATTAATCAATCCTTACCTGTCCACTATCGATACTAAAGTGAGCCTGCATGTAATCGTTACATACTTTAGTCAATCCTAACCTGCTCCACTATCGATACTAAAGTAAGCCTCCATGTAATCGTTACATACATTAATCAATCCTAACCTGTCCACTATCGATACTAAAGTGAGCCTGCATGTAATCGTTACATACTTTAGTCAATCCTAACCTGCCCACTATCGATACTAAAGTAAGCCTGCATGTAATCGTTATATACTTTTCAATAGTCGATCCTAACCTGTCCACTATCGATACTAAATTAAGCCTGCATGTATACGTTACATACTTTAGTCCATCCTAACCTGTCCACTATCGATACTAAAGTGAGCCTGCATGTAATCGTTACATACTTTAGTCAATCCTAACCTGTCCAATATCAATGGTAAAGTAAGCCAGCATGTAATCGTTATAAACTTTAGTCACTCCTAACCTGTCCACTATCGATACTAAAGTAAGCCTGCATGTAATCGTTATATACTTTAGTCAATCCTAACCTGTCCACTATCGATACTAAAGTAAGCCTGAATGTAATGTTTACATACGCTGGTCAATCCCGACCTGTCCACTATCAATACTAAAGTAAGCCTGCATGTAATCGATACATACTTTAGTCAATCCTAACCTGTCCACTATCGATACTAAAGTAAGCCTCCATGTAATCGTTACATACTTTAGTCAATCCTAACCTGTCCACTATCGATACTCAAGTAAGCCTGTATGTATACGTTACATACTTTAGTCAATCCTAACCTGTCCACTATCGATACTAAAGTGAGCCTGCATGTAATCGTTACATACTTTAGTCAATCCTAACCTGTCCAATATCAATACTAAAGTAAGCCTGAATGTAATGTTTACATACGCTAGTCAATCCTATCCTGTCCACTATCAATACTAAAGTAAGCCTGCATGTATACGTTACATACTTTAGTCAATCCTAACCTGTCCACTATCGATACTAAAGTGAGCCTGCATGTAATCGATACATACTTTAGTCAATCCTAACCTGTCCAATATCAATACTAAAGTAAGCCTGCATGTAATCGTTACATACGCTGGTCAATCCTAACCTCTCCACTATCGATACAAAGTAAGCCTGCATGTAATCGTTACATACTTTAGTCAATCCTAACCACTCAACTATCGATACTAAAGTGAGCCTGCATCTAATCGTTACATACATTAATCAATCCCACCCTGTCCACTATCAATACTAAAGTAAGCCTGCATGTATACGTTACATACTTTAGTCAATCCTAACCTGTCCACTATCGATACTAAAGTGAGCCTGCATGTAATCGTTACATACTTTAGTCAATCCTAACCTGTCCACTATCGATACTAAAGTAAACCTGCATGTATACGTTACATACTTTAGTCAATCCTAACCTGTCCACTATCGATACTAAAGTGAGCCTGCATTTAATCGATACATACTTTAGTCAATCCTAACCTGTCCAATATCAATACTAAAGTAAGCCTGCATGTAATCGTTACATACTTTAGTCAATCCTAACCTGTCAACTATCGATACTAAAGTAAGCCTGCATGTAATCGTTACATACATTAATCAATCCTAACCTGTCCACTATCGATACTAAAGTAAGCCTGCATGTATACGTTACATACTTTAGTCAATCCTAACCTGTCCACTATCGATACTAAAGTGAGCCTCCATGTAATCGTTACATACTTTAGTCAATCCTAACCTGTCCACTATCGATACTAAAGTAAGCCTGCATGTAATCGTTATATACTTTAGTCAATCCTAACCTGTCCACTATCGATACTAAAGTAAGCCTGCATGTAATCGTTAGATACTTTAGTCAATCCTAACCTGTCCACTATCGATACTAAAGTAAGCCTACATGTAATCGTTATATACTTTAGTCAATCCTAACCTGTCAACTATCGATACTAAAGTGAGCCTGCATCTAATCGTTACATACATTAATCAATCCTAACCTGTCCACTATCGATACTAAAGTAAGCCTGCATGTATACGTTACATACTTTAGTCAATCCTAACCTGTCCACTATCGATACTAAAGTGAGCCTGCATGTAATCGTTACATACTTTAGTCAATCCTAACCTGTCCACTATCGATACTAAAGTAAACCTGCATGTATACGTTACATACTTTAGTCAATCCTAACCTGTCCACTATCGATAGTAAAGTAAGCCTGCATGTAATCGTTACATACTTTAGTCAATCCTAACCTGTCAACTATCGATACTAAAGTAAAGCCTGCATGTAAACGTTACATACTTTAGTCAATCCTAACCTGTCCACTATCGATACTAAAGAGTGAGCCTGCATCTAATCGTTACATACTTTAGTCAATCCTAACCTGTCCAATTTCAATAGTAAAGTAAGCCTGCATGTAATCGTTACATACTTTAGTCAATCCTAACCTGTCCACTATCGATACTAAAGTAAGCCTGAATGTAATGTTTACATACGCTGGTCAATCCTAACCTGTCCACTATCAATACTAAAGTAAGCCTGCATGTAATCGTTACATACTTTAGTCAATCCTAACCTGTCCACTATCGATACTAAAGTAAGCCTGCATGTATACGTTACATACTTTAGTCAATCCTAACCTGTCCACTATCGATACTAAAGTAAGCCTGCATGTAATCGTTACATACTTTAGTCAATCCTAACCTGTCCACTATCGATACTAAAGTAAGCCTGCATGTAATCGTTACATACTTTAGTCAATCCTAACCTGTCCACTAGCGATACTAAAGTAAGCCTGTATGTATACGTTACATACTTTAGTCAATCCTAACCTGTCCACTATCGATACTAAAGTGAGCCTGCATGTAATCGTTACATACTTTAGTCAATCCTAACCTGTCCAATATCAATACTAAAGTAAGCCTGAATGTAATGTTTACATACGCTAGTCAATCCTAACCTGTCCACTATCAATACTAAAGTAAGCCTGCATGTATACGTTACATACTTTAGTCAATCCTAACCTGTCCACTATCGATACTAAAGTGAGCCTGCATGTAATCGATACATACTTTAGTCAATCCTAACCTGTCCAATATCAATAGTAAAATACTAAAATCGTTAAGCCAATCCTATGTAATCGTTACAAGCCTACTTTAGTCAATCCTAACCTGTCCACTATCGATACTAAAGTAAGCCTGCATACATGTAATCGTTATATACTTTAGTCAATCCTAACCTGTCAACTATCGATACTAAAGAGTAAGCCTGTTATGTAATCGTTACATACTTAATCAGTCAATCCTAACCTGTCCACTATCGATACTAAAGTAAGCCTGCATGTAATAGTTAATACCTGGTCAATCATGTAACTGTCATCGATACTAAATAAGCCTTCGTTACATACTTTAGTCAATCCTAACCTGTCCACTATCGATACTAAAGTAAGCCTGCATGTAATCGTTACATACTTTAGTCAATCCTAACCTGTCCACTATCGATACTAAAGTAAGCCTGCATGTAATCGTTACATACATAATCTGTCCACTAGTCTAATCCTAACCATGTCCAACTATAGCGTACTAAAGTAAGCCTGTATGTATACGTTAATACTTTTAGTCAATCCTAACCTGTCCACTATCGATACTAAAGTGAGCCTGCATGTAATCGTTACATACTTTAGTCAATCCTAACCTGTCCAATATCAATACTAAAGTAAGCCTGGATAAAGTAAGCCTGAATGTAATAAAGTTTACATACTTTAGTCCAATCCTAACCTGTCCACTATCGATACTAAAGTAAGCCTGCATGTATATCGTTACATACTTTAGTCAATCCTAACCTGTCCACTTTCGATACTAAAATAAGCCTGCATGTAATCGTAATATACTTTAGTCGATCCTAGCCTGTCCACTATCGATACTAAAGTAAGCCTACATGTAATCGTTATATACTTTAGTCAATCCTAACCTGTCCACTATCGATACTAAAGTAAGCCTGCATGTAATCGTTACATACTTTAGTCAATCCTAACTTGTCCACTAGCGATACTAAAGTAAACCTGCATGTAGCCTGCTTTGTATACGTTACATACTTTAGTCAATCCTAACCTGTCCACTATCGATACTAAAGTGAGCCTGCATGTAATCGTTACATACTTTAGTCAATCCTAACCTGTCCAATATCAATACTAAAGTAAGCCTGAATGTAATGTTTACATACGCTAGTCAATCCCAACCTGTCCACTATCAATACTAAAGTAAGCCTGCATGTATACGTTACATACTTTAGTCAATCCTAACCTGTCCACTATCGATACTAAAGTGAGCCTGCATGTGATCGATACATACTTAAGTCAATCCTAACCTGTCCAATATCAATACTAAAGTAAGCCTGCATGTAATCGTTACATACTTTAGTCAATCCTAGCCTGTCCACTATCGATACTAAAGTAAGCCTACATGTAATCGTTATATACTTTAGCCAATCCTAACCTGTCAACTATCGATACTAAAGTAAGCCTGCATGTAATCGTTACATATTTTTATCATTCCTAACCTGTCCACTATCGATACTAAAGTAAACCTGCATGTATACGTTACATACTTTA